CCCAAAATAATGTTTTATTAGGTTTCACTAGTCCAGGTATCAACTTAATATGATCATCTCCCCAGTGCTAGTATGAAGACTCCTGCACACTCAGGTTCTTGCAGCACCAGTCTCAAGAGCTAAAAAAGGAGGAAATCCTTTCATTTGTGACCATATTGATGGATCTTAAGGGCATTGTGTTAAGTGAGATAGACAAAGGAAGACAAATTCTCTATGATAACACATTATTTGGCATCTTAAAAGGACATTAAACCTGTAAAAAACAGAGAGTAGAATGGTGATTACCAGGGGGCAGGGTGGGGGAATCAGGAAAATGTTATTTAAGGTTACAAATTGTTAACCAGTAGATAGATAAATTCTGGAGATGTAATGCACAGCACAGTAATTATAGTCAACAAGATTGTATTATAAACTTCAAAGTTGCTAAGAGACTAGATCTTAACTGTTCCCACCACAAAAAAGAAATGATAATTATGTGAGGTGATGGAGGTGTTAGGTAATGCTACAGTAGTAATCATATGGCAATATATAAATGTAGCAAAACAACACATTATAAACCTTAAGTTTACATAAGGTATACGTCAATTACACATCATTAATAAAATTACTCCCCATAATTGAAATGAGAGAGACAAATGGCCAATGGGCATATGAAAAATTTTAATCCAGATATGTATTCAAAGGCATGCAAAATAAAATATTTAAATAAATGATTCTGGCTTATCCAATTGAGAGATTTAAAAACCTCTGGTGAGACCTGTGTACAGGTAAAGGGGAGGAGACGAAGGAATGGATCCAGGTCTTTAGTCCTGGAGACACTTGGACACTGGATTTAGCTCTAGCTATAAAATGGAGATAATAGGGATGGAAGGATTTTAGGAAAGTGATGGGTTAAATGAAAGATTACATTGATGTTGGCAGAGACGCACACAGCTTAAGGCAACAAAAGCCAACAGCAAATTTTAAAACATCTATTGTGACCCAAAATTGCCACCCTTGTCTCAGAACACTCATTGCCAACTGGAATACCTTTGTACCACCATACTGGGAGGTGTCAAAGCCCCTAAGCATGCATATGTTTTGACCCCTTTTAGGAAGATAGAGAAATTGATCAAAATGGTTCCAAAGCATTTATCCCCAGTGACACTTCTCACTGCATCATTGGTTAAAACAAATAAAAATTAAGAAAAAGCAAACCAAACCCCAACAACAACCAAACCCTAAATGTTACCAGGAGACAGAGGGGTACCCTGAGATCCCCAAACTTATATACTCTAAAGGGGTCTTGCCATCCGTGTGCACAAAGGCAAAGCAAACTTTAAAGAATTAGTGTGCCAAGGACTCCCTGGTGGAGCAGGGGTTAAAGTTGCAGCACCATCAAGCTATTGCCAGCTACTGAGGCGTAAGTTCTATCCCCAGCCAGGGAGCTGACCCACATGGCACAGCAGACCTCTCCTGTCTCACCCTCTGCTCCCCTCAGCAGTGTATTTTAGTAGATCTGCCTGTTCTGCAACTCACTGTGTCTCTGGTGAATCTTCTCACCCCCCACACCTCTGGCCTATACCTCAGTTCTTGTATGCATAAATAACTAAAAATAAATCTTTTTTTTTAAAGTGTGCCAGAGAGAGAAGAGAGGGTATTCATTTCCTAGTAAAACACCCAAAATTATCCAGACCCTCATGGGCAAATGCCCAAGCAAGGTTGGCCTGAAGTGGGGCCGCTGAGACCTGAAAGCTTGCCACAAGTGTAAGGCATCTTCTAGCGGGGAACTGTAGGAAAGAGGTTCTCTGAAGCAGGTCCCAGAAAGCTGGGCAAAAGGAGATACCACATCAAGATACTGGCTGCCACGTATCTCTCACCCATGTGTCTCTTCTAAGTGTCTGCATGTGTGTCCTTCCATGTCTCCTTTCCAGGAGTCCCAGGGTGCAATTCAGGCAGCAGGAACAAGAGGAATCCCTGAGCTCACCTGTCTTCCAGGTTATATAGCTTCATCTGGCTCCTCAGCTTCGCCCATTGTTAAGTGGGGTGGGGAACATGGTGACTCCCCTTACATGAGCAAACAGCAGAAAAGACAAACAACCTAGAGAAAACCCCTTCTCCCTGACATCCTGCGCAGCTTTGGACACAGGAAAATATGCACACATGGTAAGACAGACGTGAGTGGGGAGAGGACGTTTCAAAGTCATCTGTTCCTAATTTTCCATAGCTGAAAGACATGAACACAAAGCAAAAAATCACCCAAAATTGAGCAGTTTCCCTTGGGGGAGTGTGGGTGGGGTTCTGACCTCTTTATATTTCTCACTGTGTAGATCCACTCTTGTGCTCCTGGAACTGCCTACTAACCTGCTCTTTTGCACTCCCCTGACTCAATTGCTTAGATACCATTCAGACTCTAGAGGTGGGCAGGGGAGGGGGTGGATAGGCCACCCCAACATGTTTAGAAGAGGTCCCTTGCCCCAAGACATGCCACTGGCATATTTTGAACTGAAGTCCATTGAGGTTCTGCAGTCTCACAAGGGCATTACCTGGAATCAGGGTTTTTACCAGAAGTAATAAACTTTCTAGGAGAAAGGCCTAGGTATAAGTACTGTTGGTATCCTTCAGGTCAATTGCATTGGGGGTGCTGAAGTTTCCCTACACTGACAGGGAATTCTCAGCCATCAACAGGATGTCTGAGATTTCAGCTCGATTCCAACACTATCTACCAAGAAATAACTACCAAGAGATAATGTTAGATTCCACAAGCAAAGGGCTGTCTCCCAAGATGGATGCCATTACTTCAGATAGGCATCAAATACAAGTCCTAGCAAATACAACTCGAAATATGAGTCCTAGCAAACCCGTACTTCTGACCACGCTACTAGAGATCACAGGTCCTCAGATGTCAGGAGCCCATCACAAGCCCAGGTTATTTTTTTTTAAAGATTTATTTATTCATGCATATAAGAACTGGGGTACAGGCCAGATGAGCAGGAGGGTGAAAGGATCCACCAGAGACAGAGTGGAGAACAGAACAGGCAGATTGACTGAACTACACTGCTGAGGGGAGCAGCGGGCGAGTCAGGAGAGGGCTGCCGCGCCATGTGGGACACTCGCCAGCAGGCCAGGATCGAACCTGCACTGCAGAGGCTGCAGACAGCTTCATAGTGCGGCGTTCAACCGCCTGCGCCACCAGGGGAGGCCCCTAAAGATTTTTTTATTTTTTTAATTTATACAATAGCTGGGGTACAGGCCAGAGGTGCGGGAGGGTGAGAGGATTCACCAGGGACAGGGTGGGGAGCAGAACAGGCACACGGACCGAAAGCACTGCTGAGGGGAGCAGCAGGTGGGACAGGAGATGTCCACTGTGCCATGTGGGAATCTCCCCGGCTGGCCAGGAATTGAACCTGTGCTATAGAGGCTGTGGATAGCTTCACAGCGTTGTGCTCAACCCGCTGCACCACCCGGGAGGCCCAAGCCCAGATTATTGTCTGTGTTTCTGACCCACCACTATAAATCAGAGTCTCAAAAGACACGTTCCTCAGGTTTAATATGTTTGCTAGAACAGCACGCAGAACACAGGACACTGGTTTACTCACTAGATCACCAATTTATTGCAAAGGGTTCTAAAGGGTATGGACCAACACCCGGAGGGAAGAGATGCACAGGACAAGGTGTGGGGAAAGGGCTGGCGCGATCACGTCCTCCTCAGGTGTGCCAACCTCCCTCAAATTTGCACATGCCCACCAACCTGGCAGTTCTCTGAAGCCCCTGCTCTTGGGCTTTCAAAGAGGCTTCATTAGGTAGGTGTGATTAACTTTGACCTTTGGCAATTGAACTTAACCTCTAGCTCCTCCCCCTTACCCCCATCCACCGTTTTCCAAAAAGTCACCTTCATTAACATAGCAAAAGACACTTTTACACCCTCAACACTTAGAGAAGTATACAGGCTTTTAGAAGCTGTGAGTCTGGATTGTGAATCAAGATGAAATACATATGAGAAATGTATTTTGGTCATCTGAGTGATCAAAATATTTCTTATAAATCACAATATTGTAATATAGCAGGGCAAACATCCCATTAGAGCATCTGATCTTTGCCACGCAAGTCGCTCTTTTATTGTGATGAGTCCCCTTACTCTTTGATGTCCCTTAGCTCATAATATCTACCATTTCACCTCATTGCCACTGGAATCCACTTGTCTATGTAGATCCCCCAACATAATAAATTTTTCTCCCAACCTACCTGATATTAATTTGATTACTGGACCAGCCTGTGAAGAACCCATGGGCACAAGGAAATTTCCTCTCCTCCCCAACAGTGGTAAGGGAGAAGACAGGTGGGTTCATCTCAGCGTGACCCCAGTTGATCCCCTTGGGGAGCCCCATTTTGAGAAGATCTCAGTTCTATCCTCGAAGCCCTGCTTTTCTTTTTGTGTGTGTGAAGAACTGGGGTGTAGTCCAGAGGTGCAGGGGTGAGAGGATTCACCAGAGACAGCGTGGGAAGCAGAACAGGCAGATTTACTGAAACACACTGAGGGGAGCAGTGGGCGAGACAGGAGAGGTCTGCTGTGCCATGTGGGTAGCTCCCTGGCTGGGGATCAAACTCAGGCCACTGCTGAGACGTAACTCCTAGGTCACTGGGGAGGCCCCAGCCCTGCATTTCTTATCTGTCTCCTGGCCCGTACTCAGTAAAGACAGGGCTATCTTGAACTTGCACATTCCACTGCCCTCCAGCATGATTCCCGGCCCCTCCAGGGGCCATTGAGAGCAGCTTGTGCTTGGGGTTCTAGCTCAGACTTCTCTCTGATTCTCAGTTTCTTCCTAAAACAGAGGTAATGATTAGGTGGCTGAGTGGATTTTGATGAGATTAGGGAAGCGAAGCATCCAGCATCCTGGAACTTGGGAGAGAGACACCATCACCTGCTCCTGCCCCCTTATCCCCCCCAGTTCCTAGCCGTGACCTTACCACTGCACCCTGTCCCTCCTCCAAGGCTGCTGCACCACACCAGAAACAGGAGGCCCGTTTTTGTTTTATTTATTTTATTGAACTCAGGGACTTTTTTTCTTAAATTAGAGAGGTCACAAGATTTACCACCACCAGAAACGAGAACATTTGTCTGCCCCGGCTGTGCAGACGAGCACAGAGTTAATCTCACAGAGACCTCAAAGCCATTTCAGGTCCCTGTCTGATTTTGCAGAAGCTCCGGTGCCTGGAAAACAGACTGCAAACAACAAAGTGCACGGGGAGCCACCCAGCTGCAGGGGCCCCCAGGGAAGAGAAGGGACAGGTGGGGAAGCTGAAGCAAGTCAACTACTCAAGGCCAAAATGGTAAGAAAAGCAGTGGCAGGAACACTTGCAAAGGACCAGGCCCCGGCCCCTCCCCGAGCCATCCCCTGAAGGCAAGACAGCCGCAGCCACAGCACTGGGGCTTCCAGTCCCCTCGGCAGGGGGTGGGGCTGCTCTGCGGGGGAAGAGGTCTCCCAGGCCTGGGATCCCAGAGGCTCTCACACCCATTTCTCCCCGTTGGGAAAGTCTCCTAGGCCCCTTCCAGCAACAGCTGAGCCCCTTGCCCAGGGAGGGCTAGAACCCAGGGCAGCTCACACTGTCTACAGCTTCCTCCCCTCTGCACCACACGTGCTCGCCCCCCCCCACCCCACACACACACATGCTGGAGCTGGGGATCAAGAGTCACCCGGAAGGTGAGAGCTGGGCTTGGAAGGGGCGCATCTGTGCATCAGCCCCAAGGAGGCCTTTCACCCCTCTCTCCCTGCAGTCTGGGGTCACGAGCTCTCAGGCCGCCCCAGAGATCTTTGGGTAGAGGCAGGGGGCTGGCAGGCTCCCAGAGGGGTCCTGGTGGAGAGGGCTGGGGTGGGCGAGGGCCACCAGGACGGGAGGCTCCCAGGAGACGTGGCACCAGTAAAGAATGCCATCAGGTCCTGTTGGGGTGAAACTGCAGGGGTGCCCAGTCAGGCCGCAGTCCCTGGGGTGGGGCGGGCAGCTCTTCACCCGGGACCTGGCTCCAGGAGGGCAGATGGTAGCAGACTGGGCCGCTCCGTCCCTGGGGCTGACCAGGCCCCTGATTTTCAGTCCCAGCAACTCCGAGGACGAGAGCCACGAGTACCCGGTGCCAGAGCAGCCGTGGGGCTGGGATGCGTGCTGAGGGCCAGGGTGTCTCCTGGCCATCCTGCTCCTCCAGTCAGCAGCACACCCAGGGCTGCAGGACCAATCCGAGTCCATCTAGAGAGTGTCCCGTGTGATCCTGGGGGTTGGGGGGCCGAGCCTGGGGGCAGAGAGAGGGGGTCGTGCCATGAGTCCCAGCCCATTCCACCCCAGGTTTATGTCTTCACCCTGGTGGTTATGGGGAACCAGGAGCCACGTCCCGACCCCACCACCCAAACAAGGGCTTGTGCCACTCCATTGAGAAGCCCTTGGTCCAGCCTGGGGTAGGCGGGGAGGCCAGGTCTGTGGAGGACCTCAGCTCCCAGGGCCTGGCACCCATGTCTCTTGTGCCCAGCTCAGCTCAGCCTGTCCTCCCCTCTTCCTGGGACCGCCCACATTACTGCGAGGAGAGCTGGCTCCCCAGATTCCCTACCCTGGACTCCTCTCTCCCTAGGCCCCCCAGGAGTGGTGGACAGCTCCCCCATCCGGGCGGCTGTGGGGGAACACAGGCTCTACTACTTTGTATGTGTGTGGTAGGAGGAAATTCTTCCCTCCCGGAGCCCTGAGTTACCCTCATCAGGTGGGCGAACAGAGCTCCCTCGCAGCGCTGCCAGGAGACCTCGGTGCCCAGGTGAGACGTCCTTCCCCAAACCAGAAGTGCATGCTGGGCTCCCCCAGCCCTGGGGGCCTCTGCCTGGAAGATCCTTCCTTTCCTCCTCCACCAGGCCCTTCACTCAGCTGCTCCCCAGGCAGCTGTGGGAGCAGAGACGCCCCTTGGGCAGACGTTAGGCTCTGGACAACTCTGAGAAGGGGCGAGTCACCGCCTATAAACACCAGTTCCTGAAAAACAGGGAGACTTGAGAGATGAGCTGTCACCCCACCCGGCCCTGTTTCCTCTTCTCCACGTGTATCCCCACCCCAGCCTAGGCACTGCGGTGGCTCAGGAGGCCCCTTGTTTCCCCAAGCCCTTTAGGCGCTCAGGAGGCTGCTGGAAGCTGCCCAGCCCAGGGCCAAGGACGGCATCATCCTCGGGGGCAGGGGTAGGTGCTGGAGGGAGTAAGGGGACAGGAGCCTGGCCCAGACTAGACAGAGCAAGGGGGAGGGGAGCTAAAGGGACTGAAGGGACGGCAGGAGCAGGCAGAGCGCCCTCCGCTGGCCCCAGAGACCGGGCAGGAGGCAGTCTGGGGAGGGGCTGTGCCCGCAGCGGCAGCGAGCCCGGGGACCTGAGGGCTGAGAAGGGGACAGAGCTGGGGCTTGGCCAGGAACACCTCCTCCTTCTTGGCGGGGAGGGGGGCTGGGGGAGTGGAAAAGGGTGGCGGCCTCGCTTCTCCTCCAGGGCTCTCCCTGGAGCCGCCGGGGCCACTTCGCTCCCTGCGCCCAGGTTCAGGCGATGCCAGCCAGGCCCTGGGGAAAGGGGGCAGGGCCTGGGCAGCCAGACGAGGGCGAAACTCCCCATTTGGCGCCTGCGAGGAGCTGCCCCTGGACTCCACCTCGCCACCGCAACAAAGGCGTCGTCGGGGCCTGTGTCTGCCCTGGGCCTTCGCTGGGGCCCGTCGCACACCCGCCCCCCAAGCCCCCGAGGGCCCCAGGTGTCTGGGGGGCAGCGCGGGCCGCCTCCGGCCGCCCGCCCGGGCTCTGGCCTCCTACCTGGTGTCGGTCCCGCGCGGGCGGCGGAATCTCTTCTCTCGGGTCCCCCGCGGGGCAACAGGTCGGCCGCCGCCAGCCACGCTCCCGGGCCCAGGGCGGGCGCGTCTCGCGAGCTCCCGCGGGGTCCGTCGGCGGCCGCGGGCAGGGGGGCGGGTCGCGGCCGCGGCCGGGGGCCTGGCGGGGCCGGGCGGCCGGCGTCCCCCCGCGGGGCTAGCGGGCCCGGGGCCCCCGCCGCCCCTCATGCCGGCGCCCCCGCCGTCGCGGGCCGGCCCGCCGGCGCCCGACCCCGCCGGGCCGCGGCGCTCACTCGATGCGCACCTGCAGGCGGACGTTGAGCATCACCGAGGCCACGACGTAGAAGTAGGGGAAGTTGACGCGCAGCCGCCAGGCCAGGTCGAAGAAGGTGAGCAGCGTGCGCGTGAGCCCCTTGCAGAAGGCGCCGTAGGAGCCGCGCGCCGCGGCCGAGCGCGAGAGCCGCAGCGCCAGGCCCGAGAGCGCCGCCGCCGACAGGGCCGCCGACAGGGCCGCGGACGCCGCCATGGGCCCGGCCCGCGCAGGCCGCGCCGACCCCGCAGCGCAGCGAGAGCCGCCGGCGGCGGGCAGGTGCACGCGCGGCCCCAGCGACGCGCCCGCCCGGCGCCCTCCGCGCTCCCCGGCCGCCCCCGCAGCCGCCGCCCCCGCCCGCCGGTCGCCTCCCGCCCCCGGCGGCCGCCAGCCGGGCCCCGCCCCCGAGCAGCCACGCCCCGCCCCGCCCCGGGCCCGCCCCCGCCCCCGCCCCCGCCCCGGGCGAGCCCCCCCCCGGGATCCCCGCCGCAGAGCCGGCGGCGGGCGGGGCTCCCCGGCGAGGGCCTCTGCGGAGCGTCCCGCCCGGAGCCGGAGCCGGAGCCGGAGCCGAGGGAGGGTGCGAGGTCTCCGCGCCCTGCTGCCTCCGGGGCGCAGGCCCGTCCGGGGGGCTTCGCCCGCCCCCTCCACCCCGCACTGTGTCCAGAGAAGCCTCGGCCGCCCACCCCGGGGACCTTTCTTTCATTCGCATTTCTCGGGTACCTTTGCCCCGAGGGTCCCGAAGCTACACGTGCGCCTTTTCTTTGTGCTGGTTTGCTGGTCAGCTGAACTTCTTTATTGGTGGATTGCCTCATTGTCTGTCTCCTTTACCTCTATAGCAATCTATCCTCCTAGATTCATTATACATAGTGTACAGCCTCTCGGTCCATGAAATAAACATACAACAGGCAGATTAACAAGAGAAAAGACATACAAATGTAATAATTTAAAAAATGCTTCTGTGAGGGGCATCACAGTGGGGGAAAAAAATGAATACCCAGATAGGCAGATCTGACAGCTTATATAATATCTTCATAGGGGAAGGTGAGGAGAGATGTATACAACTTAGAGGAAAGCAAATGAGGTTTTTTTTTTTTTTTTTTTCAAGGTTTATTTATTTATTTATACAAGCACTGGGTACAGTCAGGAGCGCTGGAGGGTGAGAGGATTCACCAGAGACAGAGCGGGGAACAGAACAGGCAGACTGACGAAATACACTGCTGAGGGGAGCAGCAGGTGCTGCAGGAGAGGTCTGAGCGCCATGTGGGACCCTCGCCGGCGGCTGGGGATCGAACCGGCTCTGCAGAGGTAGAGGGCAGCTTCGCAGCCCAGCGCTCAACCTCTGCGCCACTAGGGGAGGCCCTTTGTCCCATTCTTATTGCCATTTTGGAAGAGAGAATTTCCAAAAATTGTTACTCTGTCATTTTCACTGACATCACCTTCCCTGTGATGTTTTGATGAAAGATGGACACTTTGGAAAATATATTAGAGCAGGTCTAGATATGGACACCATGTGGACTTCTTGTTTGCTTGTTTATCGGATTAATGACTTGGCTGGGTAATTTTTTAAAGCATTTCTTTCCCATTGCGAAGCCACTGATGTCCCTTGGAGTATGCAGACTTGAGCGTATGCACAGTCACACCAGGATGACAGTGGCTTTAGCAATGTTTTCTTTGTCTCCTTCTGTGATCACACCCAGCTATCAGGTTCACTAACTGTTGGCCGATTGCTCTAATGGGTTTGACAATGCTCTGGAACATCAATCACTCGATCGATTGTCTGATCCTGTTAAATTTGGACCCCCTCACAGGGGTAGTCTTGAGGTTGGTCCTGACCACAGGAGGGCTCTTTGTAATTCTCTCTGTCTGGTGAGCTAGACTATAGGCAACTTCTAATCTAGTTTCTATCACTATAGATTTGACTGTTCTGTACTTTTCATACAAATAGAATCATATTTCATGTATGATAGACTGGTTTCTTACACCTGGCATACTGTTTTAAGGTTCATCCATGTTGCAGGATGCATCATTATTTCATTACTTTTTTATTGTCCAATAATATTCCATTGTAAGGATGGGTCATATTTCATTAAGCCATCCATCAGTTGATGCATATTCAGGTTGCTTCCATATTTTTACTATTATGATTAATGGTGCTATGAACATGTTGATACAAGTTTTTGTGTATATATATGTTTCATCTATGTTGGGTTTGTCAGCGTAAATAAATTGAGGCTAGCAGGAGTAAGTTTATTGAAAAATCAACGGAGGAGCCCCGGGAACAGCCGCCAGACAGCTCTTGGAAAGGTGCCTGAATTCTGAGCTTCTCAGTGGGAATTAGATACAGTTACAAGGAGGTTACTTGTAGCATTTCAGGAATTTCTTACAAGAAAAATCCTTGTAGGGCTTCAGTTAATGTATCTCTCTGATGCTGTCTATGCTTTTAGGAAAACAAAGAGCGCTGTTAAAATTTACCCTATCTAAATAAAGTAAATAAGTCTTATCTTCTGGGAACTGGGAGTTTTAGCAAGGTTACATATTGCAGAGTTGGCATTCTTTGAAGTGACTGATTTGTCTGGAGGCAGTGGTTTCCAAAATGCTGCTTTTTCACAAAGACGGCATTTCTCCTGGGCACAGATTCTTCAGGATCAGACCCGCTGAATCCAGACTCTTGGCTTGTGCCCTGTAGTTGGAGTCAGGGAGAGGGATACCCACTTAATTGTTAGCTTTAACAGGTATATACCTAGGAGTAGAATTTCTGGGTCATATGCTAACTTCAATTAACTAACATATGCTAACGGTTTGAGGTACTACCAGACTGTTTTTCAAAGTGGCTGTTCGATTTATTTTACAGTCCCACCAATTAGATGAGGATTCAATTTCTCTACATCTTCACCAAAATGTTTCAATGACTGGGTTTTTTTTCTTTTTGTCATTCTAGTGTGAGTGAAGTGGCATTCCATTGGTTTTAATTTGCATTTCCCTAAGTTGATGTTAGATGTAGGTTTTCTGTGGACACTCTGTAGATTGATGAAGTACCTTTTAATTTCTGGTTTACTGAGTTTTATCCTGAATGAATGTTATATGTAGTCAAATGCCTATTGTACTTCTATTGATTTTGTAGAGGAAGAAAAAGCTTTAAGATTTTTACTTGAGGCCTTTAAATTAAACTGAGAAAAGACAGATTGACAGGAGAAAATGTTTACAGATTTTATTGATGTTAATGTTTCTAATTTTACATGTATAAAGACCGCAGAAAATAAGTGGAAAAAAACAAAGAGCAGTCAGATCCAGGGGTTTCTAAACCATCTTAGCCTGTGACCCACAAGCACACCATTTCTGTATAAGGTTATTCGATGTGGTTTCCATCAAAAATAAGATATTCAAAGCCTACAAGTCCACTTCAAAGCATGTGTTGTTTACTCCTTGAAGGAACAAGATCATCACACTAGAAGGTGCAGAAATGGAAATGCAAGCTGGAAAAGGCTTGCATTAGGAAGCTAACCTATATAGGAACTAACCTATATATCACTTTGCTTAGGAAAGAATTCACCCCAAGCCCCTGCAGCTCCAGTAGTTAAAATCCCAGAAGTGGGGGGAGGGAGGAGCTAAATAAACTGATTATTAATGCTTGGGAGAGACTAAGAGATGAGCTATCTTCCTGTCTGTTCCATATCTGTTAGCAAAGAAACAGCAGCCCCAAAGCTTAAGTGTGAACTTTATTTCTAAGATTCTTCAGCCCATATCACTGGGCTAGAAACAAGATGGTTTCTAGAAGAAAGATCATGGGCCTCCCTGGTGGCACAGGGGTTAAAGGCACAGTGCTATCAAGTTATCACCAGCCACTGTGAAATGAGTTCTATCCCCGGCCAGGGAGCAACCCACATGGTGCAGCAGACCTCTCCATCTTGCCTGCTGCTCCCCTCAGCAGTGCATTTCAGTAGATCTGCCTGTTCTGCTCCCCACTCTGTCTCTGGTGAATCTTTTCACACACACACACCCCCACACACCTCTGGCCTGCACCCCGGTTCTTGTATGTATAAATAAATAAATCTTTAAAAAAATAGAAGAGGGGCCTCTCTGATGGCACAAGGGGTTAAGATGCAACCTGTGAAGCTGTCCGCAGCCTCTGCAGCATGAGTTCTATCCCTGGCCAGCCAGGGAGCTACCCACATGGCACAGCAGACCTCTCCTGACTCATCCACTGCTCCCCTCAGCAGTGTACTTTGGTCAATCTGCCTGTTCTGTTCCCCACTCTGTCTCTGGTGAATTCCCTCACTGCCCCCCCCCATGCCTCTGGCCTGTGCCCCAGCTCTTATATGCATAAATAAATAAATCTTTAAAATAATAGAAGAAAGATTATGCAGTGTCCTGGAGGAGCCTGACTCTTCCTCTAATGCTGGTTACAGTGGCTGCAGGTATAAGAGGGCAAGGTGGGATGTCTCTCCTCCCCATGGTGACAGTGGCCTCTTGGGGGCCGAGTCACCTGGATGTTTGCCCCCTGACTACCTGGATTGTAGCCTAAACAGCCTCCTCAGCACACTGTGAGCCAATCCTACTGATTCAGCAGGGCCACTGTTGTGGAGACCTTAGGCACCCCTGCAGGTTCTCTCTGCCTTCAGGACAGACAACTGTGGATGCAGAGGGAACGCTTTCTTTGCCATCCTGGTTTGGAGAAGCTAGGAGTCTCCTGTGTACTTTAGCCTCCTGTTTTAGCTGCTAATATTCATAGAACATATACCAAACACCCCTCCTCTTACTAAGGGAACAGAGTGTAAAAAGGCAGAAAGGCAGAATTGGCGGGGGGGGCAACCCAATCTCTTCTATGTCATTACCCCTTCCCAAACACCAAGGTTGCTCCTAAAGACATTAAAGTAATTGAGAGGTGTAGGACTGTATTGTAAATTTGTACCCTAAAAGTAGAATCCTTATGTTCTAGGGTCTTTAGTATACTTACCAAATTTTATCAAATGTAAAGTCTTAAAAGTACCTACAAGAATGTTAAAAGCAGAAATAGAATGAGCCTTATTTTTTATCATAATATAGCAAAACCATAAATTAAGAGGAAAATGGCAATATTATACAGCTCTTGGGTCAAATATTATAATGAAAACCGCAATAACAATTTTGGAATCATTAATAATACCGTGATGGTTAATTTTATGTGCCAACTTGACTGTGCAAAGGGATGTTTAGGTAACTGGTAAAATCTTATTACTGGATATATCTGTGAGGGTATTTTTTGGGAAAAAATTAGTATTGTCTTTAGTAGATTGAGAAGAGATTTGTCCTCGCCAATGTGGGTGGGAATCATCCAATCTGTTGATGGTGAGAATAAAACAAGAAGCAGATGAGAGTCCTCACTTTCTTCATGAGTTGGGATGTCCTGCCCTTGAACATCAGAAATCCTGGTTCTCTGGCCTCTAGACTTTGGGACATCCACCTGTGGGCTTCAGCTTCTGGGCCTTTAGCCTCAAACTACTTAGACCACTGGTTTTCCATTTCCTCTGGCCTGCAAATGGCATATTGTGGGATTTCTTGATCTTCATAATCATGTGAGCCAATTTCTGTGAGTAATCTCTTGGATCGATCAATCTATATACTCTCTATTCTTTCTATCTATCTATCTATCTATCTATCTATCTATCTATCTATCTATCTATCTATCTATCTATCTTTCTAAAATCTCCTGATTCTATTTCTCTCAAGAATCCTGACTAATACAAACATATATTAAAAACTATGAAATGTGTGGGGCTTCCCTTGTGGCCTAGGGGTTAAGTCTCAGCGCTATCACACCTGTGGCCCGAGTTTGATCCCTGGCCAGGGAGCTAACCCACAAATGGTGCAGCAGATCTCTCCTGTCTTGCCTGCTGCTCCCCTTACCAGTGTATTTCAGTAAATCCACCTATTCTGCTCCCCACTCTGTTTCTGATGAATCCTCTTATCCCCTTCCCCTATACCTCTGGCCTACAACCCAGTTCTTCTACAAATAAATAAATAATATATTTTTTAAAAATAAATTAAAAACTTTGGAATGTGAACAAAGCCATATTTAGAGGAGAGTCCATAGCCTTGAAAGTTTTTATCATTAGGCCTCCCTGGTGGCGCAAGGGGTTAAGCACCACACCATGAAGCAATCCGCAGCCTCTGCAGCACGAGTTCGATCCCCAGCCGGCCAGGGAGTTACCCACATGGCGCAGCAGACCTCTCCTGTCTCGCCCGCTGCTCCCCTCAGCAGTGTATTTCAGTCAGTCTTCCTGTTCTGTACCCCACTCTGTCTCTGGTAAACCCTCTCACCCACTGCATCTCTAGCCTGTACCCCTGCTCTTGTATGCATAAATAAATCTTTAAAAGTTTTTATTGGGCCTCCCGGGTGGTGCAGCGGTTGAGCGCTGGGTTGCAAAGCTGCCCGCAGCCTCTGCAGTGCCGGTTCGATCCCTGGCTGCTCCCCGGCCACCGGAGAGGGTCCCACATGGTGCACAGACCTCTCCTGCCCCCTGCTGCTCCCCTCAGCAGTGTACTTCAGTCCTTCTGCCTGCTCTGCTCCCCGCTCTGGCTCTGGTGAATTCTCTCACCCACCCGCGCTTCTGACTGTACCCAGTGCTTGTATGTATAAATAAATAAATAAATCTTAAAAAAAAAAAGTCAATGATCCCTCAGTAGTAAGAATTTCACAAATATTAATATATAAAACATTAAAACATATTAAAAAAAGTTTTTATCATTAAACAACAAAGAATTAAAATAAAATGTGGTGGACATCAAAAGCTTACACTGTGCAGGGCCTAAACATATTTTAGAGTCTGCATGGTAGAGTCTGCATCCTTAAAAACTTGGATGTGACCTGAGAAATGCACCATTAGGCATTTTTATCACTGTGAAATCATAAAGCGTGATTATATAAATCTAGATGGCCGACTATACACCTAGGCTATATGATATAGCCTATTGGGACTATCTTCAAGTATGTGGTCCATCATTGACTGAAAGGTCATTAAGGATGTATGACATACAATGTAGGTACTGTATTTTTTTCTTATCTATTCTAAATGCTCAGAAATTAATTAGACACATCCATGCAATGTTCAACTATAAGTTTCCAAGAACTGCGTCACACATTTCTTGATTCAATGTTATAGATATTTACTACTGCTTATTATATATCGGGCACTATAAAAAATAAATGAATAATACGTGCTCTCTACTTTGTAAAATCCAGTGATGTGATGTGTATTTATAATAAAGATGAGCTGGGCCTCTCCGGTGGCGCAGTGGTTGAGCACTGGGTTGCGAAGCTGCCCGCAGCCTCTGCAGCTCTGGTTCGATCCCCAGATGCTCCCTGGCCACCACCGGAGGAGGGTCCCACATGGCGCGCAGACCTCTCATGCCGCCCGCTGCTCCCCTCAGCAGTGTACTTCGGTCCTTCTGCCTGCTCTGCTCCCCATTCTGGCTCTGGTGAATTCTCTCACCCTCCCATGCTTCTGACTGTACCCAGTGCTTGTATAAATAAATAAATAAATCTTTAAAAAAAAAAAAAATAAAGATGAGCTGGGGAGGAATGCAACTCATACTATAATTGTAACTAACCTACTAATAACTAAATTGACTGATTCAATGCTAAAACTGATGCATAAACCCAGCACTAAAGCTCCAACTTAGGGTGGGGCAGGAGGCAATTGTGGTGCTTATTGCAACTGTTCAAGGAAGCAGCTCTTAGTTGTTCAAACAAATAGTTAATGTGATTGAAGCAGGAAGAACATACACATTTACATTTTATTAAAGTATTGCATAGATACAGACAGTTGGGCACATCCATTTTAAGGCACTGTTCTGGTTTGAATGCAATTCCACAAGAGAGAAAAGAGAAGCCATTACATTCGGTATTTTTCATCTCTACATTCAGACTCCTCCCATGTTACATGTTTATTGCTACTGGGATCTCAATTTTAACCCTACATTTATAGCAGCATCATACAGGGACCTGGATGACAAGAATTAAAGACACATCCTGGCTTTAGCATGTGATATAATTTGGCATTTAATTACAAACTCTCTTGCATTGTTTATTTGTTTCCCAACTCTGGTTTAACTAAAGATATTACAAACTCTTTATGAACCTGACCCATGAATTAATTTCTTCACTAATTTCCATTAAGCCTAGAACAGGACTTGTTAGGCACATAGTAGATACCTCAAAAATATTTATATTAAATATCACTTCCAAGAACTTCAATGGAATAGAAAAAATATATACTTTCCCTAATTCTAATTTAAGGAAAGGATGACTGGTATCTTTATAAGGGAAAATACTTGAATGTCCTATAGCTTGTATTTTATAACAAGGAACTAGGCTGAATGAATATTTTCATGTATTAACAGCTTTAACTGACAGAGAATTCTTTCTTTGCTACAGAAATCTGAGTCACTATCACGGTTATATGAGAATATTTATATAAATAGCAATATGTATATGAGTGAGAGAGAGAGGAAGAGAGCGAGCGAGCGAGTGAGCGAGCGAGAGATAGAGAGAGAGAGAGATTTTGATTATAAGTAAAATTCAAAGAGGGTGTGAATCACTGGGCAACTTGTAAATTACCTGAATTAGTGACCCCTCACCTCCTTAAAATGATGTGTGTGTGTATTACATAAAAGTATATATGTTTAAAGAACTTTTCATAACACCCTTGAAACAACTGGATTAACATCAAGACTATACTGATAGCCATAGAAATATTTGTTTAAGGCAGTGTTTTTCAAGGAATATTTGCAGAATACTAGTTTTGTGGGTTATTATTGGGTGTGCATGAAAAATGGTTCTGAGGTCGAATAGATTTGCAAAACAATGAGCCAAAAAAGGTGCTTTTTCCCCTTTACTGGAGACCTCTCAGAGAGTCTCAAAAGCTGTTCTGCAGTTGTGAATCTAGAAAGGGGAACAGAAGGAAGAGATCCCCAAACTTATGTGCAGAAAATCTCATACAACAAATTGTTCTGTGGTGCACACTTAAGGAAACACTGAATTAAAGAATGGATAAAATTTATAAAGCACTGAGAAATAAGTGGTTGAATGCCAAAGGAGAGTAAAAAATCAGGACACCAGTTCCTTAGCCAGTTTAAATTAAATGAAATTCTACTTGTAGGATTTCAGTTGTCAAGTGGATTCTTCCACATAGGCTTACTTATTGTGAACAAAACAAACCATCAAATTAAGATTCAGCTCTAAGTAGCATCACCACAGACAGCCAACTAAGAGGACTATCAAACTTTGCATAATTCAAAAGAAAAGGTTAAAATCCCAACTTCTTTAAACAAAAAATTTCCATGGAAATAACCCAGTTCTTACCAGGAAAATAACACCACCTTCATCCTTGTGCTCCTGACACGTTTTTATTTTTTGACAAAATCTACTGTCTCCTTTCTTTCTGCTTGGGACATGATAAAACTTTGAACTAATATAATTTACCTTTAATAATGACAGCAGAATAATTATGGTGCTGCTATAATAGACATGTCAGATATACATGATCACCTATTGTATTGACCCTACTCTGGAAAGGACTGTCATCATTTATATGATTTATACTTACATTTATGATACAATTGGCTTAGAACACACAAAAAAATTCATTGTAATAAAAAATAATAGTTGTGGAGACAGAACAAATCAAATCTAGCTAGGAAAGTTACAAGAGTAGGTGGGTAGATACTCTTGAACTCATATGCCTTGGAAGTTTGGTTTTAAAAATAGGGAAAAAGCTGTTCTTATAAGCCAAAACAAAAAGGTTCTTCCAAGACAAACAGGCTGTTGTAGTAAAGATGTTTTTGAGTTAGTGTCAATTTCTGTAGGACCTGTTTTTCCTAACAATTCTTAAAGAAGTCCTCTAAAGTGAGTGACTTGGTGCATAATAAGGCCTGCTCGCTGTCTGAAGCTCTTAGAACAATGACTACACTTGTATGGCTTCTCCCCTGTATGAATTCTTAAATGAATAACAAGACTTGGTCTCTGTCTAAAGCTTTTCCCACAATAATTACATTTAAAAGGTCTCTCTTCAGTGTGGGTTCTCTGGTGCAAAGTAAGGGCTGTTAGTCTACTAAAACTTTTCCCACAGTTATGACATCGATGAGGTTTTTCACCTGAATGAGTTTTTAGATGTCTTTTAAGACTTGATCCATGGCAAAAGCTTTTCCCACACTCAAGGCATTTATATGTTTCTTCTTCAGAATGGGTTCTCTGGTGCCCCATAAGGTGTGACCGCCGAGTAAATCGCTTTTTACATACTGTGCATTCATAGGGTCTCTCCCCTGTGTGAAGTCGTTGGTGTCTATACAGGTCTGAACTACGAAGGAATCTTTTCCCACATTCAGGGCATTTGTGAGGTTCCTCTCCTGAATGGATCCTCTGGTGTCCAGTAAGTTGTGACTTCCGAGCAAAGCATTTTCCACATTGAGAACATCGGTGAGGTTTATCTCCTGGAATCTTTTTCTTATGAGGTCTAGGGTTGAGAGGTTCTTCTACGTTGGAGCTCTCAGGTTTCTCTCCTATGGAGGGGCTCTGATAATCGACAAGTTTTGTTATATCTGTGGGTAATTCCTCTGGGGGGGTTTCCCATTGATTTTCTAACTGTCCATAGTCTTTTTGCAAAATAGGACCATGGAGAGCATTCCCCTCTAAAGTGACAATAAATGGATACAAATTCTCCAGTTTCTTCTGTTTGGAAGTATCTTCTTCATTTTCTATTCCAATCTCAAAACCTGAGGGAAGGAAAAAAAGAAAGCTGCAGATGTCAGTGTCCCATAGAGGAAGGAATATGAGGGAAAATGAAAAGGCATATGAAACCATCAGTAAAAATATGGCAATGCCAAAAAGTAAGAATATGCAGAACTCCTTACCTTTATTAAAGTTGAATTTTTCTTATCTTTCTTCCCCAGTATCAGTGAACAATTACTTACCTATTTTGGAGTCAAGTAATTGTTTAATTTCTTTGGACTCCTGTAGTTCCTTCACCCATTCCTCTTCTCTATTCTCCAATGGGAAGCTCATATCAAGCTTTGGTATTAGATATCCTGGTCATAATAAAGATGAGAAATGTGGCAGTTTGGGTTATCAAAGGGTTTTCCAAAGTTCATGTTGATATCTTGGATATATACATATTGTTGCTTAATATTTACTTCCTCCTCAACTATTATTACTTTACCTGAAATCTTTTACAAGTCTTTTTTTAAAAGATAAGAACACAACAGAAATGAGGAAAACATCCTTTTGTGCTCAATTCAAGGCTGTTCTCTAATCTCTGGAAGAAGAATGAATCAATTCTGTGCTGAAAATCAATGTACTAAATTACTTCTGTATCTATTTTGATAACATTTACTTAGAAAGAGCTAAAATGTGATGTAAATCTTCATAAACTTTTAGCATATTGAAATTGAGAAATGCTGCTGTTGAGTACCAAGTAAAGAGAAAGAGTTATGAAACTTTTTACTGGAGTTATTTCAGTTAAGATTTTCAAATTAAAATTCACTGGGTTGGAGGGCCTCCCTGGTGGCGCAAGGGGTTAAGACGCAACCTATGAAGCTGTCCACAGCCACTGCAGCACGAGTTCAATCCCCAGCCAGGTAGCAACCCACATGGCACAGCAGACCTCTCCTGACTCACCTGCTGCTCCCCTCAGCAGTGTATTTCAGTCAATCTGCCTGTTCTGTTCCCCACTCTGTCTCTGGCGAATCCTCTCACCACCCCCACACCTCTGGCCCATACCCCAGTTTTTGTATGCATAAAAAAATAAATCTTTAAAAAAATTCACTGAGTTGGAAACCAGCAAAAGTAGTTTTTATGTTTGTTTCCTCTGAAATCCAGAAATGGATTTTCTTGAAATTAACCCAAATAACTCAGCATATCTCACTGTCAGTCTAAGGACAACCTCAAAAACTTTCTACATTCACTGCCCCCATGTATCCTACCACCCCTCTCATCTATAGTCTCTGTTGATTTTGTTCTCTTCCCATGCCCCTTCCTCACTTTGGCAAAGTGTTTTGGTCTGCAATGAAGTGTGGGTTGGAAATAATTGATCTGACATTTAAGTGTAGGATGATATTTAAATACCAGTATTTTTAATATTAGCAAGTTAATTTGTTAATTGGGAGAAATTTTAAATTTCAAAACATAGTGGACTAAAATACCTCATTTTATATTTTCATGGATAATAGACAAATATCGATTAAATTTAAGAAGCAAAAATGCATTTTAAATAAAATTCTGCCTAAATTCACAATAATGTTTAGGTTTTTAATTTCAAGGCTAAGAGTCAAATGAAAGGGTATGGAGGCCCAAGTCAAACAAAGTGGAGGCCACAGATCAAAGGAAAATTGCCATAAAGTAAAAATGGAAGTAAAATGAAACTTGAAAGAAGCAGAGTACCAAAGTCTTAGGTGTAAAATACTGACTTATGATTTAAATGTAGTGAGGGAGTTAGAGTTCTGGTATGATATCACAAGAAACTATGCAGACCTACTTCCTGATAAATCTTGTAAATAAATAACCAAACAGTTGCGCATCCCCTGGTGATGCAGGCGGTTGAGTATAGTGCTGTGAAGCTGTCTGCAGCCTCTGCAGTGCCAGTTCGATCCCAGCCGGCCGGCGAGGGTCCCACATGGCAAGGCAGACCTCTCCTGTCGCGCCTGCTGCTCCCCTCAGCAGTGTATTTCAGTCAGTCTGCCTGTTCTGTTCCCCACTCTGTCTCTGGTGAATCCTTTCACCCTCCCACGAATCTGGCCTGTACCCCGGTTCTTGTATATATGGATAAATAAATAAATCTTTAAAAAAAAAATGACCAAACAGTAAAGTCTCTCAAATGGCCTTGAGGTCATATAACAAGTTAACAACCATGTATTTTTGAAAAATGTACAATTCACTAGAACAGTGAGTCTTAGGTCTTTCAACCAAAACCCTTGAACCATCCTCCCAGTTCTATTCTAGGCAGGAATAGCCAAGAGCCCTGAGCACCCTCGCTCCTAGTTTCTATTCAGAATGGTATCTTCCTAGGAGGGACAGGACTTCAGAATTCCTCATACTAGGCCCAGCTACCAAATTCTAGGCAATTGTGGCTTTTTTTCACTCAGTCTCCATTGTGGGATGGATGCTCTACCTTGGGTTCAGTATTGTCGTGAATACTAGGGGCTCAGTTGCCCTTGTAAGGCAATTGTGATTTTTTTTAAAAGATTTATTTATTTATGCATACAAGAGCTAGGGTGCAGGCCAGAGGTGGGGGAGGGATGAGAGGATTTACCAGAGAAAGAGTGGGGAGCAGAACAGGTAGATCTACTGATACACACTGCTGACGGGAGCAGCGGGTGAGACAGGAGATGTCTGCTGCACCATGTGGGTAGCTCCCTGGCCGGGGATCAAACTTGTGCTGCAGTGGCTGCCAATAGCTTCATAGTGCTGAGATTTAACCCCCTGTGCCACCAGGGAGGCCCAAAAATTGTAATTTTAAAGCATCCATATAGGAACATGAGAAGTAAAAGTATCAGTTTTCTTAGGTAACATAATCTTCAATATAGAAAATCCTAAGGAATCCATTAAAACAATTCAAACTAATAAACAATTAAGTAAGATACAGGATATAAGATCAATACACAAAAATCAACTGTAATTCTATATACTTTCAATGTATATAATGAAATTAGGAAAACAGTTCCATTGATGATAACATAAAATGAATAAAATACTTGGGAATATATTTAACAAAAGCCATATAAAACTTATACTCAGAAAACTATAAAATAGTAGTTTTGAAAAAATTAAATTCAATCTGAATAAATGGAAAAGTATCCCATTTAATGCATCACAAAATGTAATGTTGTTAATATGGCAATAGTTCCCAAACTTATCTACAGATTCAACACAACCTCTACCAGCATTCCAATAGATGAGATGAAGAAGAATGCAAGAGAAAGCATTGAAAAGAGAACAGATTATAAGGAAGAGAAATTTGTGAGCTCAAAGACAAAAATCTATAAATTACTCAGGTGAAAGTAAAAAAGATTTTTTAAAAATGAAGACGCTCTATAAGAACTATCCAACTTCATAAGGAAAGGTAACATGAACATAAGGTAATGGGTATCCCAGAAGGTGAAGAAAGAAAGAAGGGAGCAGAGAATTTTACTTAAAGAGATAATACCTGAGAATGTCCCAAAACCGAGGGAAGGAACTGAATATACAAGCTCGTAAATCTAGCAGAACACCCAATTATCTAAATGCAAAAAGATCCATACCAAGATAAGTAAAAAAACCAATTGTGAATAGTAAATAAAAAAATTGTAAGAAGTCAATGATAAAGAACATTAAAGATAGAAGGAAAGAGTATGTATCCTATAAAGATACAATATGATTTCACTCATATGTGGAAAATAAAAAACAAAGTTAACAAAAAACATAAAACTTTTAGATTCTGAGAATAGAATGGTAGTTACCCGGAGGGGTTAGAGAGATGGGAGAATGGGTGAAATGAGCAAAGGGAATAAACTTTATGGTGATGGATGGAAACTATACTTTCTAATGTAGAATATACAGTTGAATTATAATGATGTACACCTGAAATTTATATAATGTTATAAACCAATGTTATTTCAGACTTTAATTTAAAAAAAGGAGAAAGGCCAGTCTTGAAAATGGATGGTGCTAATAAAACTGGATATACATCTGCAAAAGAGTGAAGTTAGACAATTACTTAACACCATATACAAAATTAACTCACAGTAGATTTAGGACCTAAAAGTAAAACCTAAAATTATAAATCTCTTAGAAGAAAATAGAGGTCAAAAGCTTCATGACTTTGGACTTGGCAATGATGTCACCAAAGGCATAGGCAAAAATAAATAAATAAATAAATAAAACCTAAACAGGGTAATTAATGAAAATTTAAAAGTTTTGTTCATCAAAAGATACTATCAATAAAGTAAAATGGCAACCCAAAGAATGGGGGAAATATTTGCAAATCATATATGTGATAAGGGATTAATATCCAGAATATGGTGAAATCTAGAATTCAACAACAATAAAGCAAATGGCCCAATTCAAAAGTGTACAAAGGACTTCAACAGACATTCTCCAATCAGATTACAGATGGCCAATAAGTACAAGCAAAGATGTTACTAACCATTAGGGAAATGCAATTCAAAACTATGAGATAGCACTTCACATCCATTAAAATTGTTACTATCAAAAAAACAAAAACCTGGGCCTCCCTGGTGGCAAAAGGGGTTGAGACGCAACCTATGAAACTAACCACAGCCACTGCAGCATGAGTTCTATCCCCGGCCAGGGAGCTACCACATGGTGCAGCAGACCTCTCCTGACTCGCCTGCTGCTCCCCTCAGCAGTGTGTTTTGGTCAATCTGCCTGTTCTCTTCCCCACTGTCTCTGGTGAATCCTCTCACCACCCACACCTCTGGCCTGTACCCCCATTCTTGTATGCATAAATAAATACATCTTTAAAAAAAAACAGGGGGCCTCCCTGGTGGCGCGGGGGTTAAAGTCTCAAAGCTATCAAGCTATCAGCAGCCACCGCAGTGTGAGTTCCGTCCCCTGGCAGGGAGCTAACCCACATGGCACAGCAGACCTCTCCGGTCTCACCTGCTGCCCCCCTCAGCAGTGTATTTCAATAGATCCGCCTGTTCTGCTCCCCACTCTGTCTCTGGTGAATCCTCTCACCCTCCACATCTGTGGTCTGTACCCCAGTTTTGTATGCATAAATATATACATCTTTAAAAAACAAACAAACAAATAACAAGTATTGGTGAGTATGTAGAGAAACTAGAGCCCTTGTACACTGTTGATAGGAATCTGAGAAGGTACAACTATTGTGGAAAAGACTGCAAATTCCTCAAATATTATAAATGAAATCACCATATGATCCAGCAATTCTACTTGTGATTATATACCCAAAAAAGTAAAAGTAGGGTCTCAAAAAGATATTTGTACACTCATATTCATGATAGCCTATCTAGAAGCAACCCAATGTATATTTGATGAAAAGTGGATAAGCAAAATATGATACACACATACACACACACACACACACACACACACACACAGAGTGGAATATTTTTCAAACTTTAAAGGACGGATTCTAACATATGCTACCACATCAAAAAACTGAGGTGGCCACGCTAAGTGAAATAAGCCTGTCACAAAAGAGACAAATACTGTAAGACTGCATTTAATGGATAAACAGAGCAGTCAAATTTATAGAGATAGAAAATTGAATGGTGGTAACCAGGGAATACAGGGAAGGTGAGAATGGGGAATTCTTGATTAAATGGGCATACAGTATCAGTTTGACAAGATGAAAATAGCTATGAAGATGGACAGCGGTAAAGATTTCACATTAAAAATGTTTTCAATATATTTGAACTGTACACACAAAAATCATTAAGTGGCAATTCTTAAGGTTGTATGTATTTTACTACACTGAAAAAAATATTGAAAAGAAAATAATGATTCTTAGAAACATTATTTAAGCAGAGTCACTGGCTTAAGGGATTCTTAATGCCTCTGCACCTAACAGTCCTGGTGCCCAGCTAGTCCCACAGTGATGTCCCCCCCCCTCTATCAGAAAGGACGATTTTCAATGCTTAATTGGTGTCTGTGCCCAGCCCCAGCCCTGAAGAGCTCTGGAGCTCTTACAACAGAAACCAATGAAAGGAATTGAATCCCTTGTCTTACCCGGGTCTGGAAAGGGCTGGCATTCCCCAGCAGCTGTGTAGTTCAGCTCCTGAGGCCCTGCCTGTGGCATCCACGCCTCTGCCATTGCAGCCTCTGGGGCAGCTCCCATCACTTGGAGCGGGGCTGAGTCCAGGTGCATGTTTGGTGGAATGTTTTCCATTCCCACTGGTGCCAGTTCTTCCAAGAACATTTCCTGGCTATCGATCTGGGGGAAATGCCAGAATTCATCACTGTAAAATCAACACCAGCACTGCCCAGGAGAATTTCATGCCAGCCACCCTGTCATGTTACATGTGGGGGTAGCCATAGGATGAAAACATGAAACAGTTGAAATCAATCTGAACACGTATGATCTAACACAATATATCTAGCAACCATAGCTTTAGAGTGTAATTAGTTAGCAATTATTGAGAGAGTTCACTTACTTCATTTATTACACTGAGTCTTCTGAAATGGGGGGACACTCAGAGCAGACCTCTCTTTGGACTAGCCATGTTGCTAGGGCTCAGGAGCCCCCCTTGGCTAGAGCTACCATACTGGGTAGTGCCTGATTAGACCACTCGGATTAAAATCTCACATGGTGAACCAAACCAAGAAGGCAGACAAAGACAGGAAAACCATGAACTCATTCCATGCTAGGGGGGTCCAGAAAGTCTGGGAGCCTCCTGTTCAGATGGTCTAACAGCAGAGCCCCATCAACACACAGGCTGAGTGTCCCTCATACCCACCCAGAAGCACTTCCTCCTTGTCCCAAAGAATTTGCCCTGTGCTCAGCTATGGCTCACCCCCAACAGAGGCTGTGCAAGGTGGTTCTGAACGCAGGCCAGTGTCTGTCCTCATGGGGCACTTGGGCTATGATGTTGGGGGTGGCCACTGGAATTTAGTGGGCTGGACATGGGATTATAATTCACAGTGCGGAACCGCTGAGGTCCCTAACGACTGTGGAACACACCACCCCCAGTATTCAACAGGTAAAAAGAACCTGTCAACAACCTCACTGTCACTCATAAACTTAAAATTATTCCTTTCTTTTTAATAAATTTTGCAAAACTTGAAATTCACAGGAATGCTTAAACCTCCACTTTGGAAATCACATGTCCACCAGCAACCTGGCTCCGAGTGGGGGCTCTCTCAGCCTACATGCAGCCTGTCACCTTCCCTGGTGACATCAAGTCTTCTGGTGTGGTCATCCTCAAACTTGCTGAATGCTTGTTAGTTCATAATCGACTGCCAGCCTCTTCCTGCTTAGATATCCATCCAGACTCTACTGGATTCAGGACTGGCAATTTTCCTTACATAGAGCCAGAGAATAAATATTTTATGCTTTACAGATCATGTTGGTCTATTGCCTGTTTTGTTTTTCCTCTTCCTTTTGTAATCAAACTTTTAAAAGTTCATAACCATTATGAGCTTATGGGCTATAAACAGGCCTTGGGCTGCATTTGGACTATAGACCACAAAGCACTTATATTGATATTTTCAACTTTCTGTAGCTAAGTAGGTTATATTATCCATAATCAACTTTCAGGATACTAAAGAAGATATTATCAAATATTTGTTAAAGAAGAGGAGTTGAGGACCTCCCTGGTGGTGCGGGGGTTAAAGTCTTGGCAGTGTATTTCAGTAGATCCGCCTGTTCTGCTCCCCACTCTCTCTCTGGCGAATTCTCTCACCCACCCCCCCATACCTTGCGTCTATAGCCTGGTGCTTTTATGCATAAATAAATGTAAATAAATCTTTAAAAAAATAAAAGGAGTTGAGTTTACTAATTGAGAATCACTGCCCATACTGCTAACTCCATCTGAAGTAAAAATGAGGTGAATTGAGGGGAAATCTTGGGGTTCACTTATAGCATGTCTAATCTAATACAAGATGTCTCTCCTACTTCTGTTTGTCTAATTACCAAGACCCCAAACTTTTCTCACCTGCTGCTCTGGTATTTCAAGTTCCCTCTGTAAGTCCTCTATCAGTGACACAACTCTTTCTCTATTCTCTGGGCAATGTTCCCTCACCCAGGTCTCTATTTCCATGGGCAGAATGGTTAGAAATTGCTCCAGCACTAGCAGCTCCAGGATTTGTTCCTTGGAACGCATCTTTGGCTTCAGCCATTGACAGCACAGCTCCCAGAGTTTGTTGAAAGCTTCATGAGGCCCCGCTGCTTCTTTGTACTGGAACTGCCTGAAGCGCTGACGGAAGACTTCACAGTCAGTATCATATTCCTGAAACACCGAGCCCTGATTCAAGGAGGCCTGGATCGCACAACCCAGGGCCACAGCCATCGCCCCCTGCTGGCAGTCTACAGTTTCTCTGGGGCCTCAAGTCTCAGACTCCAATTTCTTTCTTTCTTTAGAGGTCAGGGGGAGCCACCTACAGCTGAGGACAGGAAGAAATGAGAAAGGAGAAACAGGAGTGGTTACCAGAGGGCATACTTACCCCCTCAACCTGCTTACTTTTCACCAAAGCCCTAAAGCAGCCGCTCATTCTCTTTTTGGTGGCTTTGACAATCTGGTTTCTCTTCCTAGAAAAATGCACACACACAATTCTGCAGCCAGTTTCAAAAACATCCGCATGATGCTCAAGACCATACACAGACCCTCTGGAACTGTGCTGTCAGATACAGTAGACATTAGTTCCCTGTGACACTTTCAGGTTCAATTCATCAAAACTGAAAACTCAGTAGCTCAGTCACATGAGCCACATTCCCAGTGCTCAGCAGACATTCTTGCAGAATTCTCTAGTGGACAGCTCTTCCAGAATTCCACGGACCCCCGGCTAGAACCCCATGACTTCCATGACCCCCAAGGAATGTGCCGGCCTTACCCCCACTCCCAGGCTAGCAGCAATTCTCTTGTGGTTCTGAAGATTGCTAAGCCACAAGCGAAATGGGGCAGCAATGCACACAACACTGGTGAATAACCCTGAAAGTCCATGTAGCTCTGAGCAACTCTGAGTACCTTCAGTCACAGACTCTTAGGCTAGAGCCCTGCTCTGCAACAGCAGCAAATGATCAGCCCCTCTTGCTTTTCCCCTGGTGCCTGCACTTCAGCCAACATCCCTTGACCCTCATGCTGCAATAGCATGCCAAGGGGCTGTGTCATGAGACAATGACACAGCAACTGGGCAGGCAGTGGGACTCTGGTCTGCGTTCATAAGGAAGGACATTTATCCCACTTATCCTGCTCTGTGCTGGGGCTGTTCTAACCCCCCTTGGGGTTCATTTAGCCCCACCCAGTGTCAGGAGGTGAGGACTAACCAGAGGTACAGAATAGAGATGAGGGGACTGAGGTCTGAGCTCAGGGGAACTGAACACATCGTCCCAGGTCACAAAGTCAGTGCCAGGGAAATGGTGATGAGGTTCGATCCATAGACCCCTGCAAGGCTCAAGTCTCCAACCAACATGCAGATGTCCTTAGTGCCCTCCCTGTGGTCATAGAGCTGGTCATGTTGAGGACCGTGACAGCTGAGGGTCCTTAGTGAACAGAATTTCACAGAGCACCAGGATAAAGGCAGCAACAAAGTTTATTAGAAATGATAAGCCCAAACACTGCAAGAAGCAGTGGGCAGTCAGTAGGAAAGTGGGAGAACCGCTTTGACCAGTAAAGTGGTAGGTTTTCAAGGATTTCCCTTTCTGGGTTCAGAGGGTTCCCTCTTCATTCTGCATGCTTTTCTCCCATCACTCTTTCCAATTCGGGGACTAAGTGAAACTCCCCCTTCTTCCTTCCCTCTTTTGGAGTCTGGGAGAAACTGTACTTAAGACTTTTTTCCCAGGTAGGGCTTCCCTGGTGGCGCAGGGGTTAAGTCTCAGCACTATCAAGCTACTGCCAGCCAATGCAGCACTAGGCCGATCCCTAGCCAGGGAGCTGACCCACATGGCGCAGCAGACCTCTCCTGTCTTGCCCGCTGCTCCCCTCAGCAGTGTATTTCAGTCAGTCTGCCTGTTCTGCTCCCCACTCTGTCTCTGGTGAGTCCTCTCACCCTCCTGCACCTCTGATCTACACCCCAGTTCTTGCATGCATAAATAAAAAAATTAAAAAAGACTTCCCAGGCCTCCCAGACCTTATCTGATCCTTGAAACAGAGCGATAGGCACAGCTGGACTGTGGGATGACAGAGATGCAGCTGTGCTCCTCTGGGGGAGTGTGGGAGAACCCATTTCTATACCTAACATTCCCCCCTCCGGAGACAAAGGACCAAAATCTTTTGGAGGTGTGAAGGGACTAGGTCTAATCTGCTGAAGCTTCTTCCTGTTGGGAACGGGCAGTGTCCCTGCCTGTGGGCCCTGCTCTGAGGTCCCTAGGCTTTCCCTAGGATATTAACTGAAGAACTGGGCATTCACATTAGGTCCCATCAAGAGTGGGGCAGTTTGAGGGTCCTGTAAGACAATCATCTATACTATGCATCCTGAAAGAGATACTTAATAAATTTAAAAGGCACCATTCAAAAGATAAACCCAAGATGACTATTTTGTAAGCCAGTTCCATGGATTTGACACCACTTGAACTTCAACCTTTTAGAGAAGGGGACTAAGTGATTTAAGAAGCAAGGGTCAAAGATCAAAAGTGATAAGCATATTTCACTAACAGTAGCCACAAGACTAAATGAGTCCATTAATTTATCCAAACCAATTAGAAAAGACTGCTTATAATAGGAGTCCAGAGTAGGATTCAGTGTTTTAATACTGCCCCACCTCTAGGAGGCTGGGTTTTTTTTCTGTGTTTTTAGTTTCCACACAACCCTGGAGCTCAGCTCAAGGTTGCTGGTATTACTTGTCTGTAAATACAAATCTCAAAGAGAAAAAGTTAATCATTTTTTTTTCTTGTGTTCTTTTATTTATTTATTTGTTTGTTTGTCTGTTTATTTATTTATTTATTTTGTGGAACCCTCTCCTGAGGCCGGGGAACGAACAGGAGCTGCAGAGGCTGCGGGCAGCCTCGCAGCCCAGTGCTCAACCGCTGTGCCACCAGGGGAGGCCCTTTTCTTGTGTTCTTTAAAATCTGAGAATGATTTAATAATTTAGCCTCCACTACAGTCCTCTGCCTTTAAGTGTTTTTTTTTTTTTTAAATCTTGAGAAATTTGGGGCAATGGCCAATCTGGAAAAAACTTAAAAAAAAACTTTACAACGTAGAAATTATTTGATTATTTTATATAACTAGATTTTTGTGCAAAGAATTTCCTGTCTAGTTTACAGGTTTACAAAACCTCAAAATATTTAAGAGGCATGAAAACTTGATGTCTACAAAAAAATGTATATTACTGAAATATAGTTTTCTCTCTGTCTTCACACTAGTTTTATCACAACAAAATTAATTTATTTGCAAGCCAAGTCTATCTTAAATATGCTTGGCCAATTTACATAAATTCAGCAAGAATAGAAATAACCATGCAGACCTTTAAATTTTGCTTTGCTGTACCTCATTATAAGGAACTTCAGATTGAGAGCCCTTAAACAGCCAGTTTGTTAAGGCTTAAGACCAGGCCAAGGTCTCACCATCACACTTTGTCTGTAATACCAGCATCTTTGCACAAATTTCTCTTCTCTTGAGGTTTCCAAGATGTCCTATAGTTTCTGAGCCTGCCAAAGGTGACCTTCTTTAACCTCCCAATAGACCAGCTATACTCCTTAACGAGGTCCCAGGTTATTTCTTTGTTGGCTTTGAAATTAATCTGCTTCCTGAAAACATAATATTCCAGACAAAGCCTTGGTAAAACACCATGTTTCCAGCTGTCTATTATAGAGAGGGGAGAAAGAATCTTACTGGATTTATGCAAAAAACAAAAACAAATAACCATGAGATATCAGAATATTTAGTGAAAGTTTTAAGGTGTCAGGGAGAGAAAAGCAAAGGCTCAGGTCTGTTTACAAAAAAATGTAATTAACCATGGCTGTAGGTCATAGCTTAAAAAAAAAGAAGAAAAAGTTTTCTTAATTTTTTAGAGTTTATTTAGATTCATCTTTATTTTAACCTGTTGTTAGCAACTATTATGCATCCAGTTCCTTTTTATAACTTGCACTTTATTTTCAGATCCATGATAAATCTGAATTTTAAAGTCAAAGTGTTTTTCCTGCAAAATGCTCTGAAAACAAAACATTAGAATAAGTATTTTTTGTAAATGGCATAAGACTTTAAAATGCCCATAATTAAAGATCTGATTATAATGCAACTGACAAGAAAGTTTGTTCAACTTTTGGTGGCATACAGTATTTCAGAACAAGACTCAGAAATGACCAGTAATAGTATATCAGAATGTAGTAGGTTTTCAAAGAAGTTTGATATAATTTTTGGACATTTTTATTAATAGTCAGCCACATTAAATATTTTTCCTTATGTGACAATGCTTCCCTGAAGTTTTTCCCTATAGTTCATTGCTTATTATCTTTCCCACAAGGAGGGAACAATTTCCTCCTAGGGGAATGTTACCTAGGAGTTCCTGTCGGATGTCCAATAGTTTCCTTTTTAATTAAAGACTTTTAGTATTCTGATTCTGGGGAAGTTTAAACATTCATACAGATTACCACAAAACCATACTTAATTATCCAGTCAAACAGAGCAGCAATGACTCAAAATGCAAATATATTTTTAATAAAGTTCAACTCTTGCTGATGAGACTTTACCTAAAGACAATTTAGCTGAAGTCCCAGATTTTAAGATTACTTAAAGTTTATTGACAATAGTTTAAAATATTTTTGTCCTTTAATTAGAACTTTTAACTCTTAAAATCTTGGTTTTCTAATTCTTAAATTGCAAACAATTATAAGAACTGTTATATTATTCCTTTAGATTGAAAGACATAATACCTAAATGATTACAGTTTTAGCTTTTCCTAGGATAGAATTTCAAACCAGTGAAACTGACATCAATAAATCATAATATTTGAAATCTTTCTTTTTCTTACCCTCATTCCATAAACTTTTATCAACTTTCATGGACCTTTTATGACATGCTATATTGCTTCTTTTCGTTACCAAAATAAACCTCATGTCTTTTTGTTCCTTATATTTTAATCCAGAAAATACCTTCTTATTCCTGGTTTGTTCTCCGTGCCTATTTGCTATATGGATTTTTAATTTTTTTAACCACTATCCTTAACTCATGATAAAAGTGCAAAGTCGAGATAAAAAGTTCTAGCAGTTTGAATTTAAAGACTCTGTTTTTGATTTTTTTTCTTTAGTCTCTGTAGCAAAGTTTTTTCTCCTGGGATGTTACATTCCAATAAATGATTAGTATCATAACACTCATGCCTCCTGCCTGGATCACCACAATAATGGGGCTTTATTATCTTTACCATAAGGAAGTGGAACTGAGAGGAAAGTGAAGGGGAGAAGTAGGATTTTCGGAAAAAAGTGACTTCAAATATTTTCTTAATTGTCTCAAACCCCAAAAGATTTTTACCCAAATGTTTGTTACCGAGTTTGTATTTTAAAGTCAATACCTGATTGCCACTCAAAACCTATGCATAAGGGCCTCCCTGGTGGCGCAAGGGGTTAAGCACTGTACCATGAAGCAATCCGAAGCCTATGAAGCACAAGTTCGATCCCCGGCCCGCCAGGGAGCAACCCAAATGGCGCAGCAGACCTCTACCGTCTCACCTGCTGCTCCCCTCAGCAGTGTATTTTGGTTAGTCTGCCAGTTCTGTTCCCAACTCTGTCTCTGGTGGACCCTCTCACCCCCCACACCTCTGGCCTGTGCCCAGCTCTTGTATGCATGAATGGGTAAATCTTTAAAAAAAAAAAACAAAAAAACTGTGCATAAGCCAGTTCTGAACACTTTCCCAACCTAGGCTGTAAAGATTCAATGATAAAATAGTGTTCAAGTTCAGATACCATTCTCAGGTCGTTTTACCATCCTTCAATGTGTCTCGTGGCCAGGCCACATTATAGAGAAAGATGAATTTTTCTTGAAAGAATCTAAATTTAACTGATTAATGGTGAATAATACAGCCCACGGGTAAATTTCTGGGTAAATTTCTGGTGTAAATAAAACATTTCCCATTACCTAAAAGTAGGGATGGGATCATTGTCCAGAGCTGAAGGAGAAAGACAAGTCGTTTCTCTCCCTATCTGGCCCTGCATGCAAGGGGGCTCTGCCTGGCCCCACATTCAAGGGGATCCCTTTAAGCTTTGGTGTCCACTCTTTGCACCTACCTGGGGTACCAGAGAGATAAGACCTGTGTAGACGATGTCCCACTATAAGAGAAGGGGCTCCTGGATGTATACCATGACTCTGGGCATTAAGAAAGTTAAGTAAGAGAAAGAAGGTTTTGTTCCAGAAATGCCTTGTTCGAATTCTACTGGCTCACATGGAACAAAGGAGAAGAGGATTTAAGTGCCAAGATTGCCAGGGCAGAGGCAAAGATGACAGGTGAGAGGAGGCCAGGGAGCAGAGTGATAAGATGTGAGTCATGGAGGTGACTGTAAAACTTTTCAAAAGGAATCAGCCACAAGAAAATATGCTTGAGAGAGACTGGTGGAAACACAGAAAGGACAGTTCCATCTCTGACACCAGCCTTCCAAATATGCCTGTAGGAAAACAAGTGAGAGGATTTTTGGGCCCCATATTCCCTGAAATCCAAACCAGGGGCAGAGGGGTTAAGGTAGTTAGTAAGGAAGAAGGGGGTTGTGAACAGAGTGGCCTCAGGGACTCCTGCTCAGCACAGGGATGTAACCCCTGGCAGCCTTCCAAGAGGACTGTGAGGTCCCACCCAAGGAGGTTTGAATCTGCATGGTGTGGGCTTTCCTGTTACCCCAAAACCAGGAAGCTACCATCCAAGTGTAAGATGAGATTATGTCCTGAGATGGTCAGAAGTAGAACAGAAAGCCAGAGGAAAAAAAGGAGAATGGAGAAGAGAGCAAGGACCAGCAGGGCACAGCTTAGTTCACCACTTAACTGTCCTTTGCTTTCAATGAATGCTGATAGGACTTAATTTGGGGATTTGGTGAAAAATGCATGGGCAAACATCCCTTCACAGCTGTCACATGTTGAGGACCTTGACACCCGAGGGTCCTTGGTGTCTCTCAAGAAAAGAATTTCACGAAGCACCAGGATAGAGCCAGCAACAAAGTTTATTAGAAAGCCATAGGACAGAGAACTGCAAGCAGTGGGCATCTCAAGAAAGTGGGAGAGCCCCCCCCCCCCTTCTGCCAACCAGTAAAGCGGTAGGTTTTCAAGGATTTTCCTTTCTGGGTTCAGAGGGGTCCCTCTTTGCTCCCATCCCTCTTTCCAATTCGGGGACTAACTGAAACTCCCCCTCCCTCCTTCCCTCTTTTGGAGTCTGGGGAAAACTGTAGTTAAGACTCTTCCCAGGCCTCCCAGACCTGCTAGACCTTATCTGGTCCTTGAAACAGAGCAATAGGCCCAGCTGTACTGTGGGGTGGCAGAGATGCAGCTGTGCTTCTCAGGGGGCTGGGGGAGAGTCAATTTCTATCCCTAACCGTCACATGCATGTCTCCACAGGTGACAAAGGCGGAACCTGCCCACCTGCTTTAGGTCCTCTCCCTGTATTTGTTGAAAAGCTCGGGTACCTGTCCCCTTTCCTGGAGTGGGACAAGTAAAAAACCCACTTGACTTCCCACCATCCACTTTCTGTCCCATATTCCTCTTCACCCGGACCTTATCCTGGACTTGGCAGCCGATTGATCTTTTAGACTTGGATAACCTTGTGCAACCCTGCCCTGGTGCTTCCCTTTGCCTCCCGAGCATAACCACAGTATCTACTTCATAAAATGCCCCGCCCTGGATCCGGATCCGGATCCGATTCCATGGAAAGCAAATGTGCCTGGCACAGTGAAAATGCTCAAGAAAGACCACTGCTGCTAAGGATTGATTCCTAGAAGCTTCTTTTTCTCCAGCCGAGGCCCCCACCGTGGCTGGAGGGCACCCAGGATCGTGTGGTTGGGGCTGTGGCCCCACCTTTCATCCAAGGCAGCCTCACAGCTGGGCAGCCCTCCCCTGACTGACCCAAACCCTTCCCTGTATCTACCAGGGCCCGACCCTGCGGGCTTCCCTCCAGCGGCCCTTTGGGAAAACTTCCCCGCGGGCCTGATGGCTTCTCTCCAAAGTCTGCTAAGGCACCCGCGCTCACAGGCCCAGGGGTCGAGGTGTGTGAAAAGAAAGGTACTGGGGGAAAAGAGGAGGGCACGTCCCTAAAAGCCTACAAGCTGGTTAAAATCGGGTGCTGGGCGCGCGGGAGCGGCCCCGAGCGCTCCCAGGCGAGGACATCCTGCAGCCTGGTGGGGCGCTCCCAGCCCAGCTGCCCCTCGGGAAGGCCCGGCCGGGTCGCCGGGAGTGGGGAGGGGATCCGGGCCGGACAGGGGCCCGCTGCCCGCCGTTCCTCCCCACACCCGCCGCCTAGTCAGGACTGGAGGCAGCCCGTTAGCGTTAGCCCGAGCGGGCGAAGGGAGCCCCGCTACCCGCGCCCGCGCCCCAGGGACGGCCACGCCCTCTGGCCGCTCCGGGACTCACCGTCTCAGCGCCCACGGCTCTCTCAGGCTCACCGGGTGCAACTACCCAGGGCGCAGGCGCGCGGGCTCGCGGCGGACTACACCTCCCGTCAGGCCTCGCGCCGTCCGCCCAGCCGTCCGGGCCCAGAGGCTGCTGACGTGGAGAGGCTGTGACTTTCCCTGGCCTGCTGCAGGATTCTGTGGCTTAGGAAGTCACCCCATTTCCGGTCCTAAATCTCTTCCCCAGGGATTGGCGGGGCGTGTTCTAGGTCTTGATGCGGGTGAGAGCTTCTCTCCCATCAACCCTCGAGTTACGGGAGCGGGTTAAATTCTTCTTAAATCTGTTAATGACGGGATTACTGATTCTCACGCTCTCTGTGTAGGAAGAATTTTGGGGGGAGAGTTTGTTAAATACTCAAATTTCTGGGCACCACCCCGACACCCTCACGCACTGAAGCTCGCTTGAGCTCGGGAGTTCGCATTCTAATAAGCTTTCTGGGGGTTCAGTCTCCGGTCTTCCGCTAGTGGGTCAGAAGCCATGAGCTCGCTTATTTTCTTAAAGACAGCAGCCGCCCCCCAGCGACCCCGCGCGTTCATCTTCGCCTTCTGCAGCTACCAGAGTTGTCCGAGGTCTTTGGGTTCACCGGATGGCCCCGCCCCTTGTCTTCCTATTGGTCCCTCTCTGCTCCTGTCCCCTGGAGTCAAATTGTCCCTTCTGGGTGGTCGCCAGTGAGGCGTAGCCTGGCCTGATGCGATGCTGTCATTCGGGAAACGTAATTCTCACTTTGGCCGGCGCCAGCCCTCCTGGTCTTTGGACGCCAAACTAGTGCTGGGACTTCCTAGGTGGGACCAGGGCCAGTCGTTGGGACCAGGGTCCAAGACAGAGAGGAGGGAGCTCCCTGTAATTGTGCCTCCGGGAGGCCCTAGTGGAACCAAGACCAGAGGCAGGCACCCCACGGTCCCCAAGTCAGCGAGGGCAAGGCTCCGGAGACAGCTCCGCAGGGCCTAGAGTTGGGCTCCTGGGCTGGGACTTGGAACCCCGGGCACGCCGACTCCTGCCAATGTTATTTTTTGGCGCAAAGGGCGCCAGGTAACTTGGCTGACGTTGGTAGCCGGTTTCAGGGCCAAGATGGTCGGGGAGACTGACGATGGTGTCTGGTCCGGGTTTCCTGGAGCAAAAAGAGCTCTTGGCTGTGAAACCACGGGAGTATCTGCACCTGGAGCCAGGAGCTACCCCTGCGCGACCAAGGGCCCAGCGTAAACGCATCCCATCCACGCTTCTGAGCATTCAGTTTCCAAAAGGCTCTAGTCCTGGGGGAACACTCCAGTGGCTGCTGGAGCTTTGCCATGGGTGACTTCGACGTCAGATGCGCACCGAGGAGTAGATTTTGGAGCTGCTGGTGTTGGAGCAGTTTCTGACCCTCCAACCCCAGGAGTTCCACAGCAGGGTACAGAAGCTGCATCCACCAAGCTCCAAAGAAGACAGCAGCTGCCCCTGTGATAAATCCTGTGATAAATCACAGGGGTTCAAATTCTGGATCTGTTCACTGCTTTATCTTGACTCCAGAGCATATGCAGAGAGCGCTTGCCAGACTGAGGCAACAGGAGGGAGCAAAAAGGAGAGATTAATTTTATGTTTTCTGTTTGGGACATCATACTGTCTTACTTCCCCATTCTGATTTTCTTGATTGTCCTGGATAGACCTTTCTTGGGCAAGTCACTTTATGTAGTTAGCCTGGAATTTTCATTCTCAAGGTCTGTCTTTTCCTCCTCTGCTTCCCCCCCTTTCTTTTCTTTCTCTGTCTCTCTGTCTCTGTGTCTCTCTCTTACAGGAATAAAGGACATGTCTCCCTTCCTGTCCCACCAGATAAGCATTCCTGTCTTCTTTATTTACCCTCTAGGTTTAATGATCTTGTTTTCTTACATTCCAAGGGGAAAGAACCTCCCTAAGATGATAGTATCAAAATTGTTAACCACCAGGTGATAGCAAAGCAAGCTGGTGCCAGCCTTAATCTCCTCAGAAATCTCCAGATGCCTGCATCACAAGAATGGAACATACTAACCCTTGCCCATGCTCCCCTTCTACTTCTTTGTAACTCTGGATAAACACTGCTGCTCCCTACCAAAGAGCAGGACTGTGGTTTTTCAGATATGAGTCTGTTGCCTTCCTCAACTCCTCAATTTGTTGTCAAATTAAACTACTTTCCTTCTCAAACTCTGTTTCCTTTTATTGGCCAAGGGAAACCAAGATGGGCAATTGGTAACAACTCTCTATCTCGCTGTCTTTCTTTCTTCCTTTCTTCCTTCCTTTCTTCCTTTCTTTCTTTCTTTCTTTCTTTCTTCTTTCTGAGGTAATATTAGGATACCCCTGCCAGGTATTGAAATGGCAGAGCACCCACCACCAACTCACCCATAGTCCACCACCACAGACCATTGTGCGTCCTTCCCTCTTTGTTCTTATCTTCCCCTCCCCTCCTCCCTGTGGATGTTTCAGTTCTATTGTCAGCTTTCAAGTGTTGGTTTTTAAGCTTTTCTTCATCTGACCCTTAGTTTGGTTCCTCTATATTCCACATATTAGTGACACCATCTCTCTCTGACATATTTCACCTAGCATTATCCCCTCCAGCTCCATCATACTCCAGATTTCCTCCCAAGGACGCAGAGGGAACAGTGAAGAGTACCTATTTCCACAAAGAGGCAGTGTGACTGCTGCAATAACCATTGTCAGCTCTGGATTTAAATCACAGGGGTTCAAATCCTGGATCTGTTCCCCGCTATATAACTTAGGCATGTTCCTATTCCTCTTTGGATGTCAACCCCCCTCCTTTGCAAAATGGCGTCTGAGATTGTTTTGAGAATTAGAGGGAGAGCAGCATATACATGTGATCACACTGTTGACAGGTAATTAGTGCTTAAAACTCTTAGCTGGTATATTTGGGTCAGCAGTCTGGTGAAACTGAGAAAGTTTGGCACTGAGGCTTTAAGGCTACTGTCCCCAGTGCCTCTCAAGTTAGCTTATGTAGCAGAGAGCTATGGGAGCATCTGGAAAAGGTGGGGAGTGGGGGAGGGATGAGTGAAGTGCATAAAAAAAAAATCTATGGGAGGGTCTCCCTGGTGGCGCAAGGGGTTAAGAGGAAGCACTATGAAACTATCCGCATCCACTGCAGCACAAGTTCGATCCCCAGGGAGCTACTGACATGACGCAGCAGACCTCTCCTAACTAGACCGCTGCTCCCCTCAGCAGTAAATTTCAGTCTGCCTGTGCTGTTCCCCACTCTGTCTCTGATGAATCCTCTTGCCCCCTGGACCTCTGGACTGTACCCCAGTTCTTGTATGCATAAATAAATAAATATTTTTTTAAAATCTGTGGGAGAAATGTGTGCACTGGAAAAGACCCTCTCCCCATACTCTCCACCACAATCATATGCATCCATTTTCAACAACCCCTTAGACATGAACTCACACCCCCGCCCCCAGTTTACACCATCATTTTCTCTTCTTGGGTCCAAAGGAATAGACTGGTTTCTTGTTGAAGACATATCCTTTCCATTGTGCCTTGTTGTGATGATAAGTGACAGCAGGATGGATCCTAGGTCACAAACAATGGGCTGGGAACAGAATGCTTTCTGAGGTTCCTTGTATTTGGAAACAGCATGACAATCACTGAGCTTCAAGCTGGAGCCAATGGACACTCAGAGTATTTGCTGCTTCTTGTTTGCTAGGTCCAATCAGTTTATCATCATCAATATCATAGACCAGTGTGATATATCTGTGAACTAAATTATGACAGAGGACTGGAAAGTGGATATGCTCCCTCATAGTGTGAAAGGATTTCAAAATCTAAAATGGAACCAGAGGATGTGAATTGGAGAATTTTTAGAACAACTGAACTTAAGAACTTCCAACTGATTTCCCCTAATACTTGATTTATAGAAATCGAACACTTATTTCCTGACCAATGAGTATCCACCAAGAAATCTCTCCCTATCCTCAAGCCAATGAGTGTAATGCTCGAATTCTGGCCATATGTCTCCCTCTTTGCACTCCTTGCACATAAATATAGTCCCTCACCCAACAAACACAAAACAAAACAAAACAAAATTCCTTCAACAGACTTGGCTGTAACTTGCTATATAGCATGTGTTTCCTGAATTGTAATTCTTCAGTCACCAGCCTAGGAGGAAGAGTCTTGGGACCTTAAGTGGCCTGGAACTACATAGCTATTTCTTTGCTTTATCTTCAATTAAAGGCAGAAGAAATTTGAAGTGCAGAGTGGTCTCCCCATCTCCCCGTGTCTGAGAACTCCTGCAGAGACTGTCAAAGTCAATAGAATCCCCTCTCCATGGAACCCAAGAAAGCTGTACTGGAGTAAAAACAGCAAACCAAAACTGGGTGAAAACACAGCTTTTATTTTAGCAGCTGAAACCAGGGAGGAGTTTGTTATTCTAAACCGCACTTTTGGGAGTCTCAAGTACACGGATCGGCATAAGCAGGTAAGTTATATGACTTTTTGGCAAGGGCCAACGCCACCCTGGTGAATCTCTTGTCATCATCCACAGCCACTTTGACAGCTCCAAATCATTTCTGTGCCTCCCCAGTTGCCTCCCCACTATAAAGTTCATCATATTACGGGGGGCTGAAGTGCGTCTTAAGTATTCATCTGCCTTCCTCTTGGTGCTTGGTTTGGGCATGCTGGGGCCGACTTTAGAGTGTCCTTTATCCATGTTTAGTTGACACCACAGATGACTTCAGGGAGAGGACACAGCCAAGGAAACCTGAAAAAGATGATGAAACCGTTCATCCAATGGAGCCAGGGCCTCTTTCCCCTGCTATCTCTCCACGACACACATACTTATATCAGCAGCAGTCATAAGACATTGCCTTGGGGCATCATCTAATTTGAAATGCAATCTTATCATTCTTTTCATTCTATCATATACAAGGGCCTGGATCTAGAATCTCTCTTCTCTTCCATTGGCATATTTTCATTCTAATTTTCTTATATAAATAAATTATAGTACATTAATAAACAGGAAATAAGATGCAGTGATTGAAAAGGACTTAGGGGGCCTCC